TGTTTTTCACTAGTTTTGCATTTGGCTAGAGTCAGTGTCACTACTGGTAGCATGAGGCGATACCTGGACCCTATAGAGGTTGCACAGGCATGCCAACTCCTCCAGTATGGCACATCAATATGTGCCATTGCCAAAAGCCGTGGAGAACGTTATGCTGCCTGTAACATCGTTCAGCATGACCAGTTTGGTGGTGGGTCAGTGATGGTCTCGGGAGGCATATCCATGGAGGGACGCACAGACCTCTACAGGCTAGACAATGGCACCCTAACTTCCATTAGGTATCGGGATGAAATCCTTGGACCCATTGTCAGACCCTACACTGGTGCAGTGGCTGGTGCAAGACAACGCCCGGCCTCATGTGACGAGAGTATTCAGCCAGTTCCTTGAGAATGAAGGATTGATACCATTGAATGGCCCCCACGCTCGCCTGACCTTAATCCAATAGAACAACTCTGTGACATTATGTCTCGGTCCATCCGACACCACCAGGTTGCACCTCATTCTGTTCAGGAGCTAAGTGATGCCCTGGTCCAGATCTGGGAGGAGATACCCCAGCATACCACCCGCCGTCTCATTAGGAGCATGCCCCGACGTTGTCAGGCTTCCATACAAGCACCTGGGGGCCATACAAACTAATGAGTACCATTTTGAGTTGCGGCAATGAAATTTCAGCACAATGGACTAGCCTGCTGCATCATTTGTTCACTTAGATTTTTGGGGTGTCTTTGAATTCAGCCCTCTGTAGGTTGATAATTTTTAATTTCCATCAAATGATGTGGCATGCTTTCCTTCCTAACACATTGCCCGGTCCAGTACACATCCAGCATGATATTGTTCCCCATTGAGATCTGATGTGTTTTCATAGTGTTTATTTTATTTATTTGAGCAGTGTATTTTTTTTTTTTGTAGGAAACTTTACTGTTAACTAATCAGATCCATTTAGATATAGGGAGAGAGGTAGGCTGGTTCAGCATGGGTACGATAGGTTTTTCTTTTTTGCCAGACAGAGATACTTTCCAAAAAGATTCTAATGTGTGGTGGCCACTCTATCATCCAGGAAAATACATTTAGGTGAGTACTTTACTTCTCTTTCAAGCATTTCTGTTAGGGTCTCTTTGCCATTATTTCACAAAGTACTGCAGGCAGCTCATATATTTCTAATAAACTGTGAAAAATAGGATTTTGTACTCACCGTAAAATACTTTTCTCTCCGTTCATTGAAGGACACAGGCAACAGATCGTAGATCCTGAATGGTAGGGTAATAATTATACACTTCTGTGCTAGACACAGAAATAGAAAAACCATTCCAGATCTAAGCAGCACTATGTTCTTGCTGACGGGCATAAGGTGGTAGAAATTTAGGATTTCTCTTCAGTTTATGTTTCCAAGAAATGTTCAGTCTTTAATGATTTTTGGTTCCTTACATTTAATTAGAAGGCCTATAATATATAATAATATATCCCTGGTTGCTCCGTACAAATTTTAATAACATTATAGGCAGAAAACAATAGATCACACAGTTTAGCTAAATGGATTATTCATTTTGCTGTTTAGAGCTTCCGGGGAACTAAGTCTGTTTTCTACCTGTTATTTGCCTTTTGGGCTTTATAATTACCTAGTAACTGCAGTTTACCAAAGAAAAGAAGACATTTCAAAACAAAGGAAAATAACGCACGCTACATGCATCAAGACAAAATGTGCAAACAGCATATATATGCTACATCGTTACATTTTAGTTACATAGTAGATAAGGTGGGGAAAAGACACAGATCCAACCAGTACAACCCCTGTGTTAAAGCTGAGCTGATTGCAAAGATCTGTGAGTGGCAATGAGCAAAGTGACAGGAACTCCGCACAACCAAACTTTACCTTTTATCAGATTAGAAATGAAAAGCTTTAATTGAGGAAAGATTGGCTGGATGTTTTAGGTCACTGTACTGTTCGTGTTTCTCTTTATTGCATTAGGCCATAACACCATATATAAGTAACCTACACGCAGAGTGCAGTGGTTCAGTGAGAAATGATTTAAGGAGCACTATGAGGTGAGTGATTTACACTCATCCTCATAGTTAGAGCCGATTTGTGACACAGAAGCTGTCACAGGTCGACTCTATAAATGAGGGAACACATACCGTTGCTCGCCCACTTCCCGATCATCTCCCTGCAGAGAGCCGTGACTGTCAGTCACCACTCCCCGCAGGGATTCCCCCCCTTCCCTCTCCAATCCTCCAGCACTGACTGGAGGAATGGACAGGGGAGGGGGCCGGCACAGATGGCTTCATTTTGTTGGGACATAACATTGCTGAACCTAGACCTGACCAACGGAAGCAACCCCAGATTAGAACACTTATACAATGGAACCGATGACCTATTTGCTTAGTTTAATCCAGGTGGTGACTTTTTTTTGGCCAGGCAGTGTATCAATACATAGAGCTGCAACCTTACAGCTCTTCATTTTTGGGCGTAGCTATCAAATGATAACAATACTGATTGTTCATTTAATAAAAAAAAAAAGACAAGCCTGGTAATCAATTAACAATATTATTACATGAAGGATTTAAAATATGGTATACCCCTACAGAACATGACTAAGAACACAAGTGACTGCAATTCAGTTAGTATTTAAAGGAGAACTTTGAGGTGAGTGCTTTTCACTTCCCTCATAGTTCTAGCCGACCTGTGACAATGAGACCGTCACAGGTCAGCTCAGTAGATCGGGAAGTGAGTGAACACATACCGGCGTTCGCTCACTTCTTGATCCTGTCACGGCTCTCTGCCGTGACAGGGGAGGGACTGGATTCCCCCCTCCTCCAGCCCTGACTGGCGGAACGGACGGTTCAGGTACAGCTGGCTCTGCCTCTAGATAGGCCTCTAGATAGGCAGAGCCAGCTGTCACGCAGCTGGGCAGATCCAGACATAATTGTCGGGCTCCGCTTCAGCTGCGGCTCAGCTCGCGGTATACTGAGCTTAGGGTGACGTCAGGACGCTAGTTTGTGTCCTCCCGTTACCCTAAGGAGAACTATGGGGAAAAGCCCTAACCCCATAGTTCTCCTTTAAAGCACCTAATTTATCCGATTTCCTATTTGTAAAGTGGACCTGTCATCCAAATTCAAATATTTACTGCCCAAATCCAGTCTCAAAGGTTTACATTACCTGCAGTAGTGGAGGGTGTGCCATCTTGAAATCATCTTCTCCTGTTTTGCTCCTTCTCCTTATACTGAATTTAATAACTGGCAGTTCTTCAAATAGCCTTCTCCTTACTTCCAGCTGAGTGACAGCTAT